CCCCGATGCCCAAGCCCCTCCGCGGCTTTGCTCTGCGTCTTCCTGGTCTGCAGACCAGGGAGATGCAGAGAAAGCCCCAGAGTACACGGGCGGCAGGACCGCGAGGTCCCACAGTCCGTGTACTCTGGGGCAGCCCCGTTCGTAACTGCGGATCCGACATAAGTCGGATCCGCGTAAGTCGGGGATTGCCTGTAGTTAGCCATATGGCATGTCACCTAACAATCCCCTCGTCTATGTTGCTTTTGACCTAGAAAATATAAGACGGGGAGATCACCTGTCTTTTGGAATTCCATAACAGAGTTGTGGCACTGAATTCAGCTGCTGCAGAACCTGAACTGAAGCAGTACACATATGTGAAAAGGAATTTAATTTTTTTTCTCTTTACTACTTTTTTTTAGAGATCTGTGTTGACTCTTGTCTAGGAAACCTGTGCGCCCGCTTTTAGTTTATGACAAAATTAAATATGTATGGTGTAGGTATATGGATCTGCATTTGATGCTTATCCGTACCTGTCAATAGTGTGTAATTATATAACTCTGAACTGTGCATATTAACTTATAATTTTTAGGGAGTTTGCCTCCTCTCTTCCTCTGGGCTGTATCTTGAGCTAGCCAGTGGCTTATAGGGCAAATATCCTCCCATATTTTCATGCTGCTCAGTCACACCATTTTATACTCCTCTCCCAGTACCTTATGGTAGAACCACCATTATTCCAGATGAGGAGGGGAAGGCCTTCCTTCAGAGGGTATCAATGTTATTCCATTAGCCACCATATACGTCTCTATATAGACTATGTCTAGACTGCAGGCTTTTTTCAGAAGAAGCTTTTCGAGAAGAGATCTTCTGAAAAAACTTCTTCCAAAAGAGAGTGTCCATACTGCTAAAGCGCATCGAAAAAACCATCTGCTTTTTCAAAAGAGAGCATCCACACTGAATGGATGCTATCTCGCAATTCATCTGTGATTACTATGGCTGGAGTGGCCACCGAGGCACCTGTGCTTTTTCCTCTTTCCTCTTCTTTCAACAGAACTCCCTCTTCCCTGTCCCCACACACCTTTTTCCGAAAGAGCTCTTTCGCAAAAAGGCTTCTTCCTCATAGAAAGAGGATTATTAATGCTGGAAAAACCCCTCTGTTCTTTAGATTTTCTTTCGAAAGAATGTGATTGCAGAGTGGACGTTACTTAGGTTTTGTTGGAAAAGCAGCCGACATGCCCTTAGTGATGTGAGCTACCAAAACTCCTATATCCTCTGCAGTTAGGGGAATTGTATGAGAAATATATTAATGCTCAATGGTTTATTCTATGTGTACCTTCTGATGATGTGCTTTGTTGTATTTGAGAATTTGGCATTTACAACTCACAGCAAAGCATGCTTACTTTTGCCCAGAAAGCTTCCCTCCCTGCTCCACAGCTATTATGAGGAAATTGCCACTTAATAACAATATAGAAGTTTTGGAACATATCAACTATTTGTGGGGGAGAAGCAAAGGAGTCTGGAATTGGAAAGGAAAACTCCAGGGGTTTGGGATACAGGGACAAATTCAGCCTTGAGATAAATAGGTGCAACTCTGACTTCACTAGGGCTATGTGTGCTCTAGCAGGGCTGAATTTGTCTGTGAGTCTAACAAAACAGATTTATTATTTTTGGGAAAAAAGTCCCTTTTTGCTCTGTACTTAGTGTCCTATGTTTCCAAAGAATACTGCAGAATCTCTTTGTTTTTGACAATAAAACAGTGCCTATGGCAACACCATGTGATGTCACAGAAACAAGGTGTGTGAGGTCATAAATCCTTCAGAGAGAAAAAAATAAAACCAGAAAGGGACACAATGGGTATAAAATATTTGGTATTTGTGTTTGGGGTTAAGGTGGAGTTTTTTGTTCTCTTGGGCTTAATTTCACTCTCTTTTTTTTTTTCTAAAAATAAAAATAATAAAAAGCCTGAGTGGAAAGCTTTATCCCAGGAATTTCCTGTTGGCTGATGTCCGGGAAGTGGAGAATGCCAGTAATAATGTGAACAATGCAAGTTCCTCCTGGGTCTGCTTCAAGCAAGCTTCCAAATCTCCCCTGTTACTTGGTTGAAACATGATAGCGCTTTAAAGAGGTTACCAGGCTTTGTATCCAGAGATTTGTATGGAAACATTTTAGTTTTTTCCCTCTGTCTCTGGTTTCCAAGTTAGAGGAATCCAACAACTCATGCCATAGAAACAAACATGTTGCTACAGCAGAGTGAGGAACATTGCCCTCTTGAAACAACACCCCTCCCTAGGAAGATGTACAAATATGCATTTGCCATGCTGTTGTGGAATTTAATAACATGGGTCATTGTTAATGCCACATGGGTTCAGATCAATGGGTATGTCTAGTGAAGTATTTTGTTTCCAATAGTGACCACTATTATTAAATGCTGCAAAAGGCTGTGAAATAATCCATTCACTGGCCAAGTTTCTTCTTAGCTCCTGGTTAATGATTAGAAGTGAGAGGGTATATATCCCTTCCAAAACTTGTTTTAAAAATTGTATCATCATAAAAACAGTTGTTATTTTTGTGATCTATATCACTGCCTGATCCTTTTTAAAATCAGCTTGCATGATGCAGTATGAATAACCATACTTTTAAAATAGCAGGTAAATTACAGGCTGAACCTCTCCATTCTGACACCCTTGGGACCTGACTTGTGCTGAACCTGAGATGTACTGTCGAGCAGCATTACCAACACTTCCACTACTTACTGGGCTCTGAGAAGACTTTTGGAGTAAATTAGAGCTAAATAAGAGCACAGAACACTGAAAACCAGGGTGGGTGGCTGTAAACAAAATGTGAGGGACTCCAGGAAACTTGGCCACACACCCATGAGGAGTGAACATCCAGCTCACTAAAATCTTCCCAGACCACAAAGATGTTGCATGACCAGAGAGGTTCAACCTGTATCATGGAATGACTATAAGTAAACAATGGGGAATAAATGCAGCACACTTGGTGGTGGAGGATCAGTTCAGCTTATGATCTGCATTTGGCCCTATGCTTCCTAGTCCAGTTCTAGGGATGCTCAGTAGTTCAGCTAACCCATGTGAACTTGCCATTACCTGCCTTGTAGACCGAGACAATTTATGCTGACCATGGGTAAACTCGTGCTGCCCTGTTAGATCACAGGGCAACAGGAGGCATGCCAGAGATAGTGGCTATTTAAAGGGAGTCAGCACAAAGCACAGCAAATTTAGCAGGAGATTCTGAATGTCCCACACAAGCATTTAATGTGGCATTTAATCACATTTTTTTCACTTAAGATGCAATGTTGGAGGGCCTTTGTAGAGGGCCAACACAATATTACGTGCCTCTGCTTTGAGATACATTTCAGCCTTAAACTTTAGGCCACATGATCCAATAGATTGAGCCTGAGGACCAGAGGGTAGGTCTTCCCTAGCATCCTATCCCTGGCTCTGCAATTGTCTTGGAAGTGACCCTTTCTCTGAGTCTCATCTCTCTCTCTCTATAAAACATTTCTCCTGAGGGATGACAGAGTGATGTCATCACGTTACTCTGTGTCCACAGGAGCCAAGTCCTACCTGCTTCCAGCCTAACCCTCTCAAGGACCTTGGTGAAGACCAGGGGCTGCTACCCTAGCATCCTATCCCTGGCTCTGCAATTGTCTTGGAAGTGACCCTTTCTCTGAGTCTCATCTCTCTCTCTCTATAAAACATTTCTCCTGAGGGATGACAGAGTGATGTCATCACGTTACTCTGTGTCCACAGGAGCCAAGTCCTACCTGCTTCCAGCCTAACCCTCTCAAGGACCTTGGTGAAGACCAGGGGCTGCTATGCTGCAGCCCAGCCCAGCTCTCCTGTCCCTAGCAGCTGGAGGGAGAGCCGTAGCTGCAACGGCTTTGGCCCCACCCTCCCCAGCAGCCGGGATGTGAGAGCAGAAGAAGGCCTGGGACTGCCTACTCCCAGACGGGTGCAGCCCCCTAGTTTTCCTAAACTTTAAAATATTCTCGCAGGGGTGGTGGCAGCCTGCTGTGTGCTCCACAATCTGTGCGAGAACAAGGGGGAGATCTCCTTTCCTGCCAGGGTGGGGGACAGGGGCAGAGTGGTTGGTCAGGGCTTTCGAGCGGCCATGCACAGCTGCCATCCGGGAAGCCCAGCAGGGAGCTGTACTCATCCAGAAGGCCTTAAGAGAAAGTTTCAACCAAGGCCAGCCATGGCTTCCCACTAGGGGCCTCTGCATTGCCCCATGTGCCTTTCCTTCCCACCGCTCCCTTCCTTCTCTTCCCACTCTCACCTGCAGATAAAATAAACCAGACTTTTTATTTTGAAACAATAAACATGGTCATTTTTATTTGGGGACTATATAACTGGGGAGGGACTGGTGAAAGGGACTATATAACTGGGGAGGGACTGGGGAGGGAAGAGTGAACAAGAAAGGGGAAGTTGGGGGAGGAGGGAAGAGAAGGAGCTGCAGATAAAATAAACCAGACTTTTTATTTTGAAACAATAAACATGGTCATTTTTATTTGGGGACTATATAACTGGGGAGGGACTGGTGAAAGGGACTATATAACTGGGGAGGGACTGGGGAGGGAAGAGTGAACAAGAAAGGGGAAGTTGGGGGAGGAGGGAAGAGAAGGAGTTCAGGGCTGGGGCTGACATCTGCCTCGGGTGTGTCAGGATGCCCCGGCTTCCTGAGAGGTCCCCCTTCCTCATGAGCACAGCCTTCGGCAACCTTGGGGGGGCTAATA